CAATTGTTATCACTTTTCTTTCATAATAAAATGAAAAAAAAAATCATTATTATAATATCATTATTTTAAATATTTATATGTCGTATGTATTAATTGAAAGAAATTTGTGATATATATGTGCTTGTTTATGTATTCCGATTCATCGCAAATTCCTTTAAATCCGCAAGAACTAGTTGACACATTAAAGTTTCAGTAAATTATTTAATATAAGAGTTGAAGCGTTAAGTTATTCATATTGTCTCTATCTATTAATATCATGTTACACGGCAAACTTTTGGGTATTTATATTTAATAAGTTGTAAGAGTATTATTATAGAATTTGAAACCAACTGGAATTTTCGTGACGCTTCCATGATAATTCATCAAAAGTCATATAAATGAGTAGGTTGAAACTAGTTGATACCTGAAATGACGTGTGAAATCAATTAGATTCAGTACAACAATCTATTTATCGCGTCAGATGCTTAAATTAGTTTCGAGACATACGTTACGTGCTCTCTCACCACCGTGACCACCAAGATGGTGACGTTGCTTGTTAATTCAATTATATATTACGACGCTAACGAACCACCGTGGATTATTCAAATAGATACGCATTACATACATGTGAACTATAATTTTGATCCGATTCATCGAATCATCGATATATCACTGATTTATATGCCCGCAATCTTAACTACATACAACGATCATTGAATATACTGCCTTATGAGAAAACTTTTCTCAGTAATTCATATGATTTTTATGTGCATATAGGATGTCATTCATACAATGCTTATAAAGTCATATTAGTTATTATTAAAAGAATTGATAGAAATAATTTGGCAATGTAATAAATATTATTGATATTTTGTTTATGAAATATTTCCAGTAAATTTACGTAACAGTAGATGGAAAAATGTTATATTTCATGAATAAATTGAATGGCCACACACATATATTTCAATTTATAGATTAAATAGAACAATTTTAATTATTATTAAAATTACTTCGATTAAAAATACCGTTGAATTAATGGTATTCAACTTGAAATTATAAATAAAAAATATTAAGTAGTGAAAAAAATGTGTCTTAAGCAGAAAGTCTTAAGCGGAAAAATTTCAACTTATTTAAATGATAATATTGAAGAATATTTCAAATTTATAGTATAGATGGAATTATAATTATAAAATATCAAATTAAAATAAAATTTTATAAATATATATTTAAATAAAAACCAACATTTAGAGTGAATTCAAATGTATCATTTACTAATTAAAAATTATATCATCTAATTTTTACTTGTAAAATCAACTATGCCTGAACACCATAAAAATCTATTTGAAATAACATCCATAAACGATAAAATGAAAAATTAACATCTATTTAATACCTAAAATATTAGAGGACATGAAAATGCTTTCAGTCTGACAAAACAGAGATATGGCTACTTTGAAAGTGCAGGTAATAGCTTATGTAGCAGTTTTGCTTGAGTAACAGATATCTTCCTTACCAAGCTCTTCGGATCATTTTAGCTTTAACAAATGGAGCTTCAAAATATAGACTTTACTAAGTTACCGACTATAGATTAAACTATCGCCTCATTTAGCACCCACATTAGGATAAAATAGACGTGTTAATATGAACATTAAATGGATGCGACTTAATCGTAAGCTCTTACTAAATTTGAATTTATTAACTTATCCAGGAGCTAAAGTAATTAATAATAGCCTCATACGTAAGACCACAAAATTAGATTTTCCTTTAGATTAATACTTTATGTCCGATCTCCCCCTCTCTCCCCCCCCCCCCCCCCCTCCCCCCTCCCCCCGGGTCTC